AAGAGCTCAGTAACAGAGGCTGGGCAAGATGTTCCTCTGTAGTGCCTCCCATCCAGGGAAACCAGCATCCACCCACTGGGCCGTTAGGAACTTCGTGGCACAGCGCCCGGGGGTGACTGGGCCCTGGGTCAGAGCGCTGAGCAGCACTGCCCGGCAGCAAACGGGCCCCTCGGGCTCTGGCACCCAAAACCCACGGGCGGGTGGGAAAAGGCAGCTGCCAGTCAGCATGTGGCTGCAGGAGCTTCACAAAGAGCAGCGGGGAGCAGGAAACACCCACACGTGGAATCAGTCAATGAAAAAGGTGCGGGCGGGCCCAGGTGTGAGGGCGATTCAGTTCTACTTCACTTCTAGGTGAAAATCAATGTAAACGCGCCCACCCCCCGTCCCAAGCATGGCTGACAGTCACGGAGCAGTAGCCAGCCCCGTGGCCCCCCTCCCCAAGTCCTGACAGGGGCTTAGCCCAGTTCTGCACTGGCGGGCTTGGCCACGGTGACGCTGAGCTGTCTGGCGCTCTCGTGTTCCTGCCGCTCCTGGTGCAACGGGGCCCTGAGCTCGGCTGGTGCCACTGGACACGTGCGTAACATAGACACCAACCAAGTGTGTTCAGCGCCTCTCAGGCACCCGTCCCAGCCGGCAGCGCCATGGGCTCCTTAGCCATGACGTGTGGCTCATGGGAACGAACTGCTGGAGCAGCCCTGGGTAACTGAGCCCTGGCCGACCAGCTGGGCCTCACACCAGGCCCTCAAGGCCAATAGACTCGTGCTCTGTGGGCCCAATGGGGTCAAGACTCAGGAGGTGCCCTCAGGCCCATCCCAAACCTAGCGGCAGGCCCCTCAAGGACTACCACGGCGCCGGGCGGTCCCGGCAGCACCTCAGGGGACTGGGCCCCAAATCAGGGCTTTGTAGCACAGAGGCGAGTTTGCCTGGCATGGGGGCAGGGTGAGGGGGGGCGGCCACGTGAGCAGGGAGGGTCCAATCCTTACAGCTGGGCAAGAGGCTGCCACACAGTGGCGGATTAGCCAGGGTCCATGGCGACCCCGGTGGCTAGGCAGGAGGGCGGGGTGGGGGAAGCTGCAGGGTGGGAGAAGCCCAGCTCCCCGACCCTGGTCACTCGCAGAAGCGCGGGGGGTGCGGGGGAAGCCCCAGCACCTGGAACCCCCCCCCCCCCCGCCAGCCCGAGGACTGGAGGTGCTCTGGCTCCCCACTGAAGCCTTGTGGGACATAAGGGGGGACAGAGCTTCTCCAGTCTTGGGAGGGAATGGAGGGGGGCCTGGGTGGAACAGGGGCAGAGCCCAGGGAAGGGGCAGTGTCTCTGCAGGCAGAAGGGGTGGGGTGGGGAGGGGTCCCCCATTTGCTCTGGCCCAGGAAACCTTAACCCGCCTCTGCTGCCACAGCCGCCCCCCCCCCCCACGCCCAGCCCCAAGCCATCCCCCCAAAGGCCGCCCTGGGGAGGGGGGCACAGACCCCTGGGCAGTCTGGGGCCCTGGTGCTAAGTCAGCCCTGCTGTGAGGACTCACCTGTGGTGTGACGTCCGTTCCCACCCCGGCCATCCCTGCCCATTTGCCTGGGCCCGGGATCCAACCAGGGCGTGGCACACAGCCTGGGGCCTAGCAGATCAGGGGTACGAGCTGTACTGGGGGGGGCTTAAGGGCACAGGCCCACAATGTGCTTCACAGACATGGATGAGCTGGGACCCACCAGTGCCCTCACTGCATGCTGCGGGAGGAGAAACTGAGGCACGTTGAGAGGCCGGGACCTGTCCAAGGTCACCCAGCAGGTCCGAGACAGAATGGGGACTAGAACCCTGCGTTGCCGGGACCCTGCGCTGCTCACTAGAGCAGCCCGTTGGCAAGGCGGGGTGTGTGTGTGTGTGGAACTGATGAGGTCCATTCAAGGGGCGATGCTCAGCTGGGGCCCTTTGCCGCGTGTCAAAGCGAGTCACAAACTCTGCCCCAGGCCGGGGCCACGTGCCCCCCCCCCCCGGCCCTTGGCCTCACCTGAACTAGCTTCCTCCACAGGCAGAGGGCATCCCCCATCCCTGTGCCCATGGACATCCCCCCATTCCTGTGTCCTTTGGCACTGCTCCCCACCATGCCCGTGGGCGTAGCCCCAGCCCTCTGGCCTTGTGTCCATGGCCCTGGCCCCATCCGTGTGTCTGT